TTCTCGACTTTCCGATTTCTTGATATATCGATGTTTCAGTTTTTAAATTTTCCGATGTTTCAACTCTTCGATTTCTCGGATTTTCGACTGTTCAGCTTTTTAAATTTTCGATTTTCTAATTTTTCGATGTTTCAATTTTTCAGTTTTTCTATTTCCCAATTTTTCATCATTTCGGTTTTGAGGTTTTTTCAATTTCCCCATTTTTCAGTTTTTCAATTCTTCAATCTTCCAAATTTTGAATTTTTCATTTCTCGATTTCTCGGTATTTAGATTTTTGAATTTTTGATTCTTTCGATTTTTTGATTTTTCAATATTTCTATTTTCCAATTTTTCTATTTTTCGATTTAGCTAGATTTCGATGTTTCGACTTTTTGATTGTTCAATTTCCCTATCAATTTCTGGATTATTTTTAATTTAAAATTTTTCCATTTTTAACTTGGCAATTTTTCGATTTTGGCTTACTTCGATTTCTCAGTTTTTGGATCTTTCGACTTCTCGACTTTTCGATTTCTTGATATCTCGATGTTTCAATTTTTAAATTTTCTGGTGTTTCAACCCTTCGATTTCTAGGTTTTTCGTCATTTCAGTTTTGGGTTTTTTTCAATTTCTCGATTTCTCAGTTTTTCAACTTTTCAATTTCCCGATTTTTCAATTTCTAACGTTTTTAAATTTTCAATTTTTTGATTTCTCAATTTCTCGATTAAACAATTTTTTAATTTTCCTATTTTTCAATTAATAATAATAACAATAATAATAATAATAATAATATATTTTTTTATTTTTAATTTTTCAATTTCTCGATTTTCTACTTTTTCGATTTTTCAGTTTTTCGGTTTTTACATTTTAAATGTTTTTTCTCGACTGTTTGATATTTCGATTTATCAGTTTTATTTCAATTCTTGGATATTTTTCAATTTTAAAAATTTTAAATTTCTGGATTTTTCGTCATTTCAGAAATGGATTTTTTCAATTTCCCTTTTTTTTTAGTTTTTCAAGTTTTCAATTTTCCGATTTTCCAATTTTTCTATTTTTCGATTTAGCTTAACTTCGATGTTTCGATTTTTTGATTGTTCAATTTTTCGAACAATTAAATTTTTTTTTTAATTTAAAATTTTTCAATTTTCTACTTTTTCGATTTTTCAGTTTTCCGGTTTTTATATTTTAAATGTCTTTTTTTTGGATTTTTTGATGTTTCGATTTGTGAGTTTTCCAATTCTTCAATACTTTTCAATTTTTAAAATTTTAAATTTCTGGATTTTTCGACATTTCTATTTTAAAAATTTTAATTTTTCGAATTTTTAAACTTTGTATAGTTTATTGATGTTTCGTTTTCCCGATCTTTCGATTTTTCGACCTACCCGTTTTAGACTTTTCGGTTTTAAGTTCTTCGAATTTTAAATTTTTCAGTTTTTCGATTTACCTAGACTTCGATTTACGATTCTCGATTTTTTTTATTTTAACTTCTCGATTTTGAATTTTTTAACTTTTCAACTTTTCGGTTTCTAGATATTTCGACCTTTTGATGTTTCGATTTCTCGATGTTTCAGTTTTTAAATTTCCCGATGTTTCAATTCTTTGATTTCCCGATTTTTTCGGCTTTTCGAAGTTTTAATTTTTCGATTTTCCAATGTTTACTCATTTCAGCTTTGGAGTTTTTTCAATTTCTCGATTTTTCAGTTTTTCGATTCTTCAATTTTCCGATATTTAAATTTTGGATTTTTCAATTATACAATTTTCCAATTTTTGATGTTATGATTTATTTCAGTTTTTCAAGAAAACATGTTTTAGTTTAATTTGTGTTTCACCGTCACGTCTACAGGTTGTGTTATGGCTATTTGTCTTAAATTACAAGTACTATACAAGGTGTTCATTTTATCTGTTCACGCCTGATAATTTTTGCATAGGCAACATATTATACACCTCAGAGCCGGCTTCGTCCAATTTATTTTTTTTTTAATAAGCAGTCATAACAATCACAGAAAAACAATAATAAAGATTTCAATGCCAAATAATGATAAAATAAAAAAAAATAATACTCATTTTATTTAATAATGCCATAACAGGCATGCAGTCGTCACATTTTCGACAACGAGGGAAGTACTGTATAAACTCTTTAGATCAATTTTTAATTTTAAAATGTTCAGTTCTTAACATTTCGATTTTTCGATTTTGGTCTATTTCGATTTTTCGATTTGTTGATCTTTTGATGATTCAATTTCTCGATTTGTTAATTTTTAAATTTTTAGATATTTCTATTTTTCGATGTTCCTATTCCAAATTTTTCGTCATTTCCGTTTTGGAAGTTTTGTATTTCTGGATTTTTCAGTTTTTCGATTCTTCAATTATCCGATTTTTGAATTTTTCGATTTTTGACATATTTTTTCCTTTACTGATTTCTCAATGTCTCGACTTTTCAGTGTTTCGGTTTTTCCATTTTTCTATCGTTTAATTTTTAGATTCCTCAGGTTTTTGGCTTTTCAGTTTTTCGATTTTGCGAGCTTTCGACTTTTGGATGTTTTTGATTTTTCGATCTTTAATGTTTGGTTTTTAAATTTTCGATTTCGGCTTATTTTGGTTTATCGATTTTTCGATTATCCAACTTTGCGATCAGTTTTCAATTTTTCAATTTTTGGTGTTTCTAAATTTTTCAAGTTTCTATTTCTCAATTTTTCAATTAAATGATTTTTGATTTTCCCATTTCTCGATTTCTCGACTAACCAATTTTTCTATTTCTGATTTTTTACTGTTTGGATTTTTGAATTTTTCGGGTTTTAATTTTTTTTTTTTATGTTTTCTTTTTTTGGTGTTTCCATTTGTCAGTTTTTGAAGTTTTCTATATTATCCAATTTTTAAAATTTTACATTTTTCGATTTTTCGGTTTTTCGATTCTTCAATTTTCCGATTTCTCAATTTTCAATTTTTCAAATTTTGGACTTTCGATTTCAGTTTTTTAATTTTTGAGTTTTAGATTTTCAAATTTTTAAATTTTTCTATTATTTGATGTTTCGATTTCTCGCCTTTCAATTTTTCAATTCTTCAATTTTTTTTCTTCGATATATTATTATGTATTTTTAAATTTTTTGAATTTTTATATTTTTAAATTAAATTTTACGTTTTTCGATTGTTCAGTTTTTTTCGATTTCACGATTTTTGGTGTTTCTATTTCTTGACATCTCGGTTTTTAAAATTCTTCAACTTTTCGATTTTAAGATTTCTCGAAATTCAAGTTTTCTACAATTTAATGTTTGGATTTTTTGATGCTTCAAAGAAATTTGCGACAGTTTTGATTCGTGGAGATTTTGATTCTTTATTTCAAAACAAAAACAAGTTAAAACCGTCGTATAAAAAAATATGCAATATAACCCTTTTTACTTGCCAGTATCAGACATGAAATATTGTATACTCAGTCGACATATACCTAGCTAAACTTTTAAGACAAACCGCCCTTATAAATCAAACTGGCTAATGTAAACAACAAGAAAAACCGGTTTCAGACTCTCGCCAAATGAAAACCATAAATAAATTTGTCAGAATATACAGAAGTAATGAGATGGCCGGCCAGGTCGCCAGACCTAAACCCTATCGAAAACCTTTGTCACATTCTGTTTGATGAAGTAGCAAAGCCGTATAATTAAATCAATTAAAATATGAATCCCAAAAACAATAGGAACAAAAAAACCCATTAATAATAATTATGCAGCCTTGTTTATAAAAACAACGTCATTAGTCGCAATTTTTCCAAAGCGCCCACGTCAAGGCTGCAGACTTAATGCATGCATCACCATTCAGTAGTGTTGTTGCACCCGACCCAACCATGTCTTTTAAGTGCATCGATGTTCAAAAACTCTACGAAAAAGACAAAAACATCAGAAAATCAGACGTGGAAATTTTAACAGAATGGTTAAAAAAGCAGCCACATTTACCAGAAATGGAAGGTGATTATTAACATTTAAGTCCCATTAAAACAAAACCTGAATTGTGCAAAATATTTTACCAGAAATGCAAGTAGTCGCCTTTCTCCACAGTTGCTACTACCAGATAGAAAGAGCCAAAATCACCATCGACAACTACTTTACCATGAAAACTCACCACCCGGAATTATTTACGACTTTGAATGAAACCCAGCTGCGAAAATCGATGTCCGCGGTGTAGGTTTTCAAAAAAACAAACACCGCAACACTAAAAATTCAATAATCATGTTCTAGTTTCGTTAAGGTCCTACCAAAAACTACTCCTGAAGGCTACGTCGTCTTTTTGTTAAAACTGCTGGATTTTAAAGCCGACTATTTCAACTTTTTTGATCAGGTGTGTGTGATTAACATGGTTTCGACGCTCTATCTTCATCAGAATGGGTTTGAAACAGGCGCGGTGATAGTGTTTGACTCGAAAGGATTCACTTTAAGTCACTTAGCGAAATTTAACTTCAGTGCGTTGAAACATGCGGTGGATCACCTCCAGGAGGGTGCCCCAGTTAGGGTTAAAAGTGTGCACTTCATAAACGTGGTCCCCGTTCTCGACAAAGTCATGAGTTTGATCAAACCCTTGTTAAGGGGCGAAGTTTTCAACATGGTAAAATTAAAATCACGCGCTGTGGAAATTTTAACGTGTTTTCGTAGCTACAACTACATCCGTCTATGGAATCGTTCCACAAACACATACCGAAGGAATGCATGCCCGAAGACTACGGAGGGGGGGTTTCACCGTGCCAGAAGCTACAAGGTCGGTACTAACAATCGAAATTCGGTAACAACTTCCGGGTGTTCTAGACGAAAACTTGGAAAACTGTTTGAAGAGTTACGATTTTTTCCAATGGCATGAGTCGCAAAGGGTCGACGAGATGAAGCGAGTCGGAAAGTGTGCCAGTTCCTTCGGGATCGAGGGGACTTTCAAAAAATTGAATATTGATTAGGGTCTGTGTTAGCTACGAGTTGTGTAAAAATATTAAAATACAATGTGTAATTATGTGAAACTTGATGAGAAAAAATAACCTTGGGGGTTTAGCCCGGTCCTCACCTAGTTCGTTAATTCCAACTGGTTTGTTATTTAACATATGATTTGAGTGACGCTCCAACAAGGACTTTCTCTTAGACGTGAGTGTAATATATTTTTTCTCTCTTGTGCACATTTTACCGGTTTTTGGAAGCCAGTTTTATTCAGTACATAAAACCGCGACAATCGAAGTACCCGCGATGTGCCCAATAATGCGTGATGTTGACGAAATTTACGCAAAAGATAAACGAATCAAACGCGAAGATGTGCGAATTTTGAAAGAGTGGTTACAGAAGCAGGAACATCTACCACAATTAACAGGTACTCCTATTTTTTTATGTATTTATTTTGTTACAGCAACTAAAACACGAAAATACGGATCACCCGCTTTGTCATTCGCTTATTGTCACTTTTTTAGAATCACAAATAATCATATTTCTTCATAGTTGCTTCTACAGCATCGAACAAACTAAAACCAACATTGATCATTTTTGCTCGAGACGTAGTCTGTACCATTATTGCTTCAGACACTTAGACGAAGAGGAACTGCGGACGAATTCTTCGGTTGCGTAAGTACGATTTGTGTTTTTGAGGTATGTTTTGAAACGAAATTTTTAGCTTTATCGGTGTCCTTCCCAAGCCTACTCCTCAAGGGTACGCTATCCTTCTGTCAAAATTGGTTGATCTTGCACCAGAAAAGTACGATTTTGCTAAATTGACAAGAATGCTGGATATGGTTGCCTCGCTGTATGTCAACGAGCATGCTCCTCTTGAGGGCGTCGTGATAGTTTATGACACGAAAGGCTGCAGTCTTGGTCATGTGACTAGATTAAATTTCGATGTTATGAAACATTCGACAGACCAACTACGGGTAATTTACGCGCTCTTTTTAGATTAATTTTTTTTTTATTTCGTTGTGATTGAATGCCCGTGGGCAGTATAATCTGATAATAACGTTTCATGTTTCATTTTAAATTCATTTAAATATGCCAGGTCAAAATAACTACGGCAACGGGTGTTATATCACGTAACTTTACATAACATTGTGTGATGTAATGCCCGTAGACATTATGGCCCACTTAATATCTCTCTAGGGTTTTTGGTTTTACCCAATATACATACAAAATTTGACAATAATCAGTCCAGTAATCTCGACGATTACAATACTTCCTTAGCTTGCGCTCAAAAAGTAAAAAGTTTAACGGGTTTCATATAATAATAGAGTAACAGACGTTGTTTCTTTTATATAATGTAAGAGGGGCTTCCCAGGAACGGGTTCATGTCACAACAGGTCACTTAGAGTCGTGAAGGAAATGACCCAGATTTCGATTTTCTCATAGATGCAATCGTATTTTCATAAGAAATTTGAACTCACCGTTGTAAAAATGATTATGGAAATATTGTAATTATTATAGTCGTAAAGTGCATCTATTTTTAGTTTAGTTAATGAAGTGATTATTTATTTCAGCCTGTCAAATACTAATAAACACGTTTGTGCGTCATGCAGACATTGTTTTTGTTCCTAGAAATTCTGTGGTTTATTTTTATATAAAACTATCATAGCTTAGCAGCAATTGTTAAATTCTCTAATTTTTTTACAGACATCAATAAACCACATTTAGTAATTTATATGCAAAAACAAAGATATTTTGATTTTTTTTAATTTTTCGACTTTTCAAATTTTCAATTTTTCGATTTCCCAATTTTTAATCATTTCGGTTTCGTGATTTTTTCCATTTCTCGATTTGTCGGTTTTTAGATTTTTGAATTTATGATTTTTTCAATTTTTTGATTTTTCGATATTTCGATTTTCCAATTTTTTTTGTTTCGATTTAACAAGATTCCGATGTTTCGATTTTTTGATTGTTTAATCCCTCGATCAATTTCTATATTTTTTTTTATTTCAAAATTTTCAATCTTTAACATCAATTTTGGCCTATTTCGATGTCTCAATTTTTGGATTTTTCGACTTCTCGACTTTTTGATTTCTTGATATGATTCATTTTTTTAATTTTCCGGTGTTTCAATTTTGCTATTTCGCAATTTTTGAATTTTCAAATTTTTAATTTTTTAATTTTTTAATTTTTAGATTTTGCAACTTTCAATTTCTTTCAATTTTTCCACTCTTCAATTTTTGGATTTTCCAAGTTTTCAATTCTTCAATTTTTGATGTTTCTAAATTTCCAATTTTTCGATTTGTCAATACATATTTCTATTTTTCAGTTTTTCGAATATTTAAATTTTAGATTTTTCCATTTTTCAATTTCTCGATATAACTAGAATTCGATTTAAATTTCGGATTTTTCGATTTATTGATTTTTCGATTTTTCAACTTTCCGATTTTTTTTTTACACTTTTAAATTTTTGATTTTTTGGTGTTTGGATTTCTTGATTTTGGCTCAATTTTCCGATGCTTTTGACGTTTCAAAATTTTCAATTTTTCTCAATTTCTCGATTAAACGACTTTTTGATTTTCCCATTTCACGACTTCTCGACTTTTCAACTTTTTGATTTCTCAATTTTTAACTTTTTCAACTTCTTGATTTTTCACTTTTCCGATTTTTTAATTTTTCGGTTTTTAAATTTTCATGTTTGTATTTTTTTGATTTTTTGATATTTCGGTTTTTCAGTTTTTCAATTCTTCGATATTCTTCGATTTTTAAAATTTCAGATTTTTACATTTTTCAATTTTCCGATTTTCCGATTTTTGGATTTTACGATTGTTCAATTTTCCGATTTCTGAATTTTTCGATTTTTAAAATTTTGGATTCGATTGCTCGATTTCTTGGTTTTTCGATTTTTTGAGTTTTTGATTTTTCATTTTTTAGATTTTAAAATTTCAATTTTTCAATTATTCAGTTCTGGGTTTTATAAGTTTTTATATTTTCTTCGATTTTTTAAATTTGCAATTTCTCGATTTTTTCCTATCTCGATTTCTCAATATTCCGATGCTTCAGGTTTACGAATTTTGAATGTTTCGACTTTCCAATTTTTCAATTTTTGACGTTCCTAAATTTTCAATTTTTCGATTTCTCAATTTCTCGATTAAACGATTTTTTGATTTTCCAACTTCTTGATTTCCCGACTTTTCAATTTTTCAATTTTTCGATTTTTTCTTTTTTCCGTTTTTCAGTTTTTCGAGTTTTCACTTTCAAATGTTTTATTTTTCCATTTTTGATGTTTCGATTTGTCAGTTTTCTCGATTTTTTAGTTCTTCGATACTTCAGTTTTTCGTTTTTCAATTTTTCGAATTTTTATATATTTGATTTTAAATTCTTTTGATTTCTCAATTTTTCGATTTTTTAAAAAATTTTATTTTTCGATTTTTCATATTTTGCGGTTTTCGAAAAAATAAAATATTTAAAATGTAAAAACAGAAAAACAACTGAAAAATCGAAACATCGGAAAATTAGCAAATCGAAAAATCAAGAAGTTGACTAGTCGAAAAATCGAAAAACCAAGAAATCGAAAAATCCGAAATTTCAATTCTTCAATTTTCCGATTTTTTAATTTTTCAATTTTTGACGTTTCTAAATTTTCAATTTTTCGATAAATTAAATTTTCAATTGTTTAAATTTTTCAACTTTCGGCTTCTCGGTTTTTCGATATTTCAGTTCTGGGTTTTACTGATTTTTATATTTTTCGATTTTCCAATTTTCAATTTTTAACGTCTCTAAATTTTCAATTTTTCGATTTCACATTTTCTCGCTTAAACCTTTTTAATTTTCGTTATTTTACGTTTTCGGTTTAGCTAGATTTTAATGTTTCGGCTTTCTGATTGTTCAATATTTCGATCAATTTCTGTTTTTTTTTAATTTTAAATTTTCCAATTTTTAAATTGTTGATTTTTCGATTTTGACCTATTTCGATTTTGACCTATTTCGATTTTGACCTATATCGATTTTGACCTATTTCGATTTTGACCTATTTCGATTTCTAAATTTTTGGATTTTGCGACTTTTCGACTTTCCGATTTCTTGATATCTCGATGTTTTCGTTTTTAAATTTTTCGATGTTTCAATTTTTCGGTTTCTCGGTTTTTTGAGTTATCAACTTTTCAGATTTTTGATTTTTCGATTTTCTAATTTTTCAAAGTTTCGATTTTTCAGTTTTTTGATTTTCCATCATTTCCGTTTTGGAATTTTTTCAATTTCTCGATTTTCCAGGTTTTCAATTCTTCAATTTTCCGATATTTTGATTTTTCAATATTCCAAGTTTTGACTTTTCCATTTCTGGATTTTTCGGTTTTTAGATCTATGAATTTTCGATTTTCCAATTTTTCTATTTTTCGATTTAGCTAAATTTCGATGTTTCATTTCAGTTTTGGGATTTCTTCAATTTCATGAATTTTCAGTTTTTCAATTCTTCTATTTTCCCATTTTTTAATTTTTCAATTTTTGACGTTCCTAAATTTTCCATTTTTCGATTTCTCAATTCCTTGTTTAAACAATTTTTTTATTTTCTTTTTTCTTAATTTCCCGACTTAATTTCACGACTTAATAATAATAATAATTTTTTTTTTTGGATTTTTAATTTTTCAATTTCTCGAATTTTTACTTTTTGATTTTTCAGTTTTTCGGTTTTTACATTTTAAATGTTATTTTTTCGATTTCTTGATGTTTCCATTTCTCGATCTTTCGATTTTTCGATCTTTTGGTTCTAGATTTTTCGGTTTTTACATTTTCAATTTTTGGATTTCCAAATTTTCATCATTTTGGTTTTGAGATTTTTTTTAATTACTCGATTTTTCAATCTTTCAATTCTACAATTTTCCGATTTTTTAATGTTTCAGTTTTCCAAATTTTGAATTTTTGATTTTTCAATTTTTCGATTTTTGGATTTTAAATGTTTTATTTTTTCCATTTTTTTGAAGTTTCGTTTTGTCAGTTTTTCAATTCTTCGTTATTTTTCAATTTTTAAAATTTCAGAATTTTCGATGTTCCTATTTTTTAATTTTTTCAATTTTTTAACTTTACATTTGTCAGTTTCTTGATATTTCGATTTCTCGATCTTTTAAATTTTCGCCCTTTCGGTTTTAGATTTTTCGGCTTTTAGATTTTTCGATTTTTTGATTTTTCGGTTTGTCAAGTTTTCAATTTTTCAATATTTTTTTTCGATATAGCTAGATTTCGATTTTTTGAGTATCGAATTTCTCGCTCAATTTCTGGATTATTTTTAATTTAACATTTCTCTATTTTTAACTTCTTGATTTTTCGATTTTGACCTACATATTTCGATTTCTCATTTTTTTTAATTTTTCGACTTCTCGACTTTTCGATTTCTTGATATCTCGATGTGTCAGTTTTTAAATTTTTCGATTCCTTGGTTTTTCGATTTTTCGACTATTCAACTTCTTGATTTTTCGATTTGCTAATTTTCCGATTTTGCAGTTGTTTTTCTGTTTTTACATTTTAAATATTTTATTTTTTCGATTTTTTGATGTTCCGATTTGTCAGTTTTTCTATTCTTCGATACTTTTCAATTTAAAAATTTTAGATTTCTGGATTTTTCGATATTTCAATTTTTCGAATTTTAAATTTTACATTTGTCTTGGTGTTGTATCTTGATGTTTAGATTTCTCGATCTTTCGATTTTTCAACCTCTTGGTTTTAGGGTTTTTGCTTTTTAGATATTTCGATTTTTTGCAGTGTCCAATTTGTCAATTAATTTCTGGATATTTTTTAATTTTAAATTTTTCAATTTTTTGCTTTTCGAATTTCGATTTCGGCCTATTTCGATATCTCAATTTTTAGATTTTTCGACTTCTCGGCTTTTTGATTTCTTGATATTTCGATGTTTCAATTTCTAAATTTTCCGATGTTTCAATTTTTCGATATTTTAATTTTTAAATTTTAGATTTTTCAATTTTTGATTTCTCGATTTATCGATATTTCAGTTCAAGGTTTTACCAGTTTTTATATTGTTCGATTTTTCAAATTTTCGATTTCTCTATTTTTTCCTTTCTGCATTTCTCAATTTTTCAACTCTTCAATTTTTGGATTTTCCAATTTTCCAATTTTTCGATTTGTCAAGTTCTCGGTTAAACGATTTTTTGATTTTCCCATTTCTTGTTTACCAGAATTTTCAATTAATAATGATAATAATGATTATAATTTCTTTTGGTTTTTATTTTTAGATTTCTCAATTTTTCAGTTTTTCGGTTTTTACATTTTAATTAATGTTTTATTGTTTCGCTTTTTTGATGTTTCGATTTGTCAGTTTTTAAAATTTTACATTTTCGGATTTTTCGATATTTCTATTTTATAATTTTTCGAATTTCCAAACTTTACATTTTTGTCAATTTCTTAATGTTTCGATTTTTCGACTCCCGGTTTTAGATTTTCCGAGTTTCCATTTTTTTTTTCGATTTGGCTAGATTTTTTATTGTTCAGTGCCTCGATCAATTTCTATTTTTTTTAATTTTAAATTTTTCAATTTTTAACTTTTCGACTTCTCGGGTTCTCGATTTCTTGATATTTCGAAGTTTCATTTTCAAATTTTCCGATGTTTCAATTTTTCGATTTTCAGCTTTTTGATTTTTCGATGTTTCGATTTTTTTTTCAGTTTTTCAATTTCCCAATTTTTCATCATTTCGGTTTTAGGCTTTTCTCAATTTCTCGGTTTTTCAATTTTCCGATTTTTTAAATTTTTTAATTATCCAAATTTTGAATTTTCCATTTCTCGATTTTTTAGGTTTTTAATTTTTGAATTTTTCAATTTATTGATGATTCGATTTCCCGATATTTCGATTCTTCAATTTTTCGATATTTCTATTTTTCCGTTTTTCGAATTTTTGAATATTTTTGATTTTTAAGTTTCTTGATTTCTTAATTTTTCCATTTTTTTAATTTTACGTTCTTCGATTTTTCATTTTTTCGATTTTATGATATTTTGACATCAATTTTTCGATTTTTCAGGTCTTCGATTTCTCAATTTTTGAACATTTCAATGAATTTTTCAATTTTTTTGTGTTTCAATTTTTCGATTTTTGGAAATTTCGGTTGATCTTGCAACTTTTTAAGGGAACTATTGGCACTGAACAAATTTGACAATAATCGGTCCAGTAGTCTCGGAGATTATTTGTCTAATAAAAATTGGGACAGACGGACGGACGGACAGAGAGACGGAAACGCGACACCTATTTTTTCGTACTCTAGTTGTCATGACGTTTACAATACTTACTTCCTGTTGTTATTATTAATACTTAAATTTTTATCCCTAGAAATATTGTTGTTTATAATTAATAAACCACCTTTAGTAATTTATACGCAAACACAAAAATATTTATGATTTTAGTTTGTTTTTGATTTAAACTTCGAAAAAGTTTGGTTAGGTATGCAACTAGTAATACACATAATGTGTACATTTCGCCTAATTTTATTATTTTTTTCAATGTAATGTACACAGAGGTCACAGATTAATTAAATGTGCGTTACTACAATAATAATAACAATAATACCAGTAATAATAAGGTTTAGGAAGTAAAAATAAAGTTCACAAAATCAAATCTTCGAAATAAACTTCAACCAATTTTTTTTAATTGCAGGATGGTACACCGGTCAGAATCAAAGGAATCCACTTCATCAACGCCATGCCTGTGGTAGACAAACTCGTGGGTTTAGTGAAGCCATTCCTTAACGACGAACTTTACAGTCTAGTATGTCAATAGTTATTACCATTTTTTAGCCACTCTACGATTTCTTCTTTTAAGATGAATGTCCATTCTTCACTAAACACGTTTTACAAATACGTGCCTCAGGAGTGTTTACCTGAAGAATATGGGGGAGATTTGCCTTCGTGTCAGAGTTTACGAGGTTCGTTAAAAAAACAACAAACATATTTTTTATTTTTTATTATTTTTATTTTTAGAAGAAAATCTCAGCCACATGTTAAACAACTACGCCTTTTTCGAATGGCACGATTCTCTCTTAGTCGATGAATCCAGAAGGCTGAAGAAATCGACCAGTTTCGGGATTGATGGAACCTTCAAGACGCTGGAAATTGATTGAGTCGACGTTTAACTTGTTATACTGAGATGTGTAAAACCCTATTGTTAAACACCAATAAATTTATTTCTATTACGTATCTTGATGTTCTGTTTCCCGGGAACTCCCAGTATCTGAAACACATATAAAATCGCATTACATAAGTAGGTAGTTCTGAATCACTTAAAACGAGTTTTTGATTTCGATGCACTTTTCAAGGTAAACATTTTGTTGACACAATTGTTGTTACCTATTAGAGTCTGTGTTAACTAATGAGTTGTTTAAAAATATACAATTAAATGTGTAATCACATGAAAACACAGTAGTATAGTTCATGGAAAATCTGAGTGAGAAAAAAATTATTAGATACCTTGAAGGTTTAGGTCGATCTTCACAATCACTAATTATAACTGGTTTGTTATTTTAACATATATAATCATTTCATTGGCATTTTGACAAGGACTTTTTCCTAGATGTAAGTATAACATTTTTTTTATTTCCTTTTTTACACACTTTACCGGTTTATGGAACCCAGTTTCCATTCAGTACCTACAACCTTGCCATTAGAAGTAGCCGCAATGGGTCCAATTATCCGCGATATTGACGAAATTTACGCAAAAGATAAACGAATAAAACGCGAAGATGTTCGAATTTTGAAAGAGTGGTTACAAAAGCAGGAACATCTACCTCAAATGACAGGTATTCTTTAGTTAATTTTCCTTTCACTTCCTTCAACTGTAAATTTTGTAGAGACACAAATAATCATATTTCTTCATACTTGCTTCTATAGCATAGAACAAGCTAAAGCCAACATTGAAAGTTTTTGGACAAAACGTACTCTTTACTATTATTGCTTCAAACCCTTAGACAAAGAGGAACTGCGAACAAATTCTTCAGTTGCGTAAGTACTTATCGATTTTTGTGTTTGAACTACGATTTGACAAAATTTTTAGCTTTATTGGTGTCCTTCCGAAGCCTACTCCTCAAGGGTACAACATCCTCCTTTCAAAGCTAATTGATGTAACACCAGAAAAGTTCGATTTTACCAAATTGACAAGAATGGTGGATATGGTGGCTGCACTGTATCTCAATGAACGTGGTCCTCTTGATGGCGTGGTAATAGTCTATGATGCGAAAGGCTGCACCTTTGGTCATCTAACTAGGATAAATTTGGATGTTATGAAGCATTCCACAGAAATAATACGGGTAATTTACACCTTCTTTTATATTAATTAATTCATTAATGAATCCCTCTTTTTTAATTGTAGGAATCCATACCGGTCAGAATTAAACAAATCCACCTCATCAACGCATTTTCTTTGGTAGACAAACTCATGGGTTTACTGAAACCGTTTCTAACGAACGAACTTTACAGCCTAGTACGTTATTAATTACTTATTAATGTTATTAAATTTTTCAGTCGTTCTAAGTACGATTTCTTTCTTTTTAAGATCAATGTCCACTCTTCACTAAGTACGTTTTACAAATATGTGCCTCAGGAGTGTTTACCTGAAGAGTATGGGGGAGATTTGCCTTCGTGTCAGATTTTACAAAGTTCGTTTTTTGGAAAAAGAAAAAATATATATTATGATTTTCTTTTTAGAAGACAATCTCAACCACATGTTAAGTAGTTACCCTTTTTATGAATGGCACGATTCTCTCTTAGTTGATGAGTCTAAAAGACTGGAAAAATCGACCAGTTTCGGTATTGATGGAACGTTCAAGACGCTGGAAATTGACTGAAGTGAACGTACAATTTTACTGTTAAACGCCAATAAAGTTTTTATTATTATGATAATTATTATTATTAATGGAGAACAACATGACGACAAACCCGGTACTTTTGGTGACATGAGACTAATAATTAAAACAGGACGTTTTTGTTTACAAGTCGACGTAATTTGTTTCCACACAATGGAAGATTTCTTAATATCAATAGATTCAATTAACTTCAAAACAAATTCGTTTTATGGCCTTGCTCTTTGTCCACTTAGGTACCTCTCACTCGATGTATATAAATTTTATGGAAAAAAAGAACCGAACGTTTCATAATATACAAGTGTTCCGTATATATATATATAAAATACACACCCAAATTCTTCAGTTATACGTGATTTAAGATTGGTCATTTAACAAGATTACCAAATTTGGAAGACAGAAAATTGTCTAATTTCATTTTTGGGGAATTTTGATTATCGGAATTTCAATAATAAACTGTTTTTACTTTAATTTATTTCGACTTCAGCTAGACTTCGACATAACCGTAATTAAGCTATGTTTTTTAATTATTAGAACCAAATGTCTGACATTTTTCTTATAATTTTCAAGTACCCATTTTTTAAAACTGGGGAGTTGTTCAGTTATATCTAATTTAAATTTGGTTATCTGACAAGATTGTTATCACATTTTGAAACATAGAAAATTGTTCTAATTTTATTTTTGAGGGATTTTCATCATCGAAATTTCAAAAATAAACTTTTTGCAAAAATTTTGACTTATAATTCAATTTCGATTTCAGCCAAACTTAGAAATAATGGTACTTAAGCTATCTTTTTCACTTGTTAGAGCAAGTTCGACACTTAAAATATCTGACATTTTTCTTATAATTTTAACGTTTTCATTTATCAAAAATGATGGATTCCTTAGTAAAATGTAATTTAAATTTTGTCATGTGACAATATTTACACTTTCTGTAGAATTGAAAGTGTTCACAGTATTATTTTTGAGGTGTTTGACAATCGCAATTTCAAAAATAAACTGTATTTTAACACAACTTTTGACTTTTAATTTTCAGCCAAACTTCCAGATAATTGTAATTGAAGCTTCAATATAATTGTAATTAAGCTATCTTCTTTTAATTATTAGAACAAGTTCGACCCTTAAAATTTCTGACATTTTTCTTATAATTTTGACGTTTCCATTTATCAAAAATGATGGATTCCTTAGTAAAATGTAATTTAAATTTTGTCATGTGACAATATTTACACTTTCTGTAGAATTGAAAGTGTTCACAGTTTTATTTTTGAGGTATTTGACAATCGGAATTTCAAAAATAAACTGTATTTTTACAAAACTTTTGACTTTTAATTTTCAGCGAAACTTCCAGATAATTGTAATTGAAACTTCAACATAATTGTAATTAAGCTATCTTCTTTTAATTATTAGAACAAGTTCGACCCTTAAAATTTCTGACATTTTTCTTATAATTTTGACGTTTCCACTTTTCAAAAATGATGAGTTCCTTAGTAATATGTAATTTAAATTTTGTCATCTGACAATATTTACATTTTCTGTAGGATTGAAAAAGTTCACAGTATTATTTTTGAGGAGTTTGACAATCGCAATTTCAAAAATAAACTGTATTTTTACAAAATTTTTGACTTTTAATTTTCAGTCAAACTTCCAGATAATTGTAATTGAAACTTCAACATAATTGTAATTAAGCTTTCGTCTTTTAGTTACTAGAGCAAGTTCGACCCTTAAAATTTCTGACATTTTTCTTATAATTTTGACGTTTCCATTTTTCAAAAATGATGAGTTCTTTAGTAATATGTAAATTAAATTTAGTCATCTGACAATATTTACACTTTTTGTAGGATTGAAAGTGTTCACAGTTTTATTTTTAAGGTGTTTGACAATCGGAATGTCAAAAATATACTGTATTTTTACAAAACTTTTGACTTTTAATTTTCAGCCAAACTTCAAGATAATTGTAATTGAAAGTTCAACATAATTGTAATTAAGCTATCGTCTTTTAGTTACTAGAGCAAGTTCGACCCTTAAAATTTCTGACATTTTTCTTATAATTTTGACGTTTTCATTTTTCAAAAATGATGAGTTCCTTAGTAATATGTAATTTAAATTTAGTCATCTGACAATATTTACACTTTCTGTAGGATTGAAAGTGTTCACAGTTTTTTTTTTGAGGTGTTTGACAATCGGAATTTCAAAAGTAAACTGTATTTTTACAAAAATTTTGACTTTTAATGTAATTTTAACTTCAGGTAGACTTCAACGTAATTGTATTTAAGCAATTTTTTTAGTTACTAGAGCAAGTTTAACACTTGAGAATTGTAAATTTGTTACAATTTTGACGTTTCTATTTTTCAAAAATACAGTTTTTCAATTATATGTAATTAAAATTTGCCCATGTGACAGCACTTTCTTAAGATTGATAGTGGTAACAATTTTATTTTTTAAGAATTCTGATCTTTAGCATTTCAAAAATAAATTCTTTTTGCAAAAATTTTGACTTCAGCTGGACTTTAACATAATTGTAACTAAAATATCGTTTTTGGCTATTAAATTCATACTACACAAGTGGTCCCCATAAAACGCACACTCAAAAATGGAAAACGATTTTATAATTTTGTTAACTGGATATAATTTTGACGTTTCTATTTTTCAAAAATGGTGAATTCTTCTGTTATATCAAATTTAAATTTGGTCATCTGTCAAGATTAGAAAAATTGTTACAATTTTATTTTTGAGGCATTTTGACTATCAAAATTTCAATAAACTGCGTTTTTGAAAAGAATAATAATAACTTTAATAATTTTATTAATGCATATAAACATACAAGTTTTTTGCATAAGTCACTTATATGTACATACTGCACACAATAAACAATAAAAGAGAAATGACAAATTAATTGACATACTCATTTGACATACACATTTTCGGGGACGCTACATAAACTTTTCTTTAATAAAATCGTCAAGAATTTTGACTTTCAATTTAATTTTGACTTCAGCTAGACTTCAACACAATTCTAATAAAATTAACCTATCTTTTTTGGTTTGACACGGGAAATATCTGAGAATTTTCTTATAATTTTGATGTTTCCATTTTTTAAAAATGGTGAATTCTTGAGTTATATGTGATTCAAATTGGCCATGTTACAAGATTAGCACTTTTTATGAAATTGAAAATCGTTGCAATTTTATTTTCGAGAAATCTTTACCATCGGAATTTCAAAATAAACTGTTTTTGCAAAATTTTGACTTTTAATTTAATTTCGACTTCAGCTGAACTTCAACACTATTGTAATTAAGATATTTTTTTTAGTTATTTAAAGCAAGTTTGACACTTAAAAAGTCTGAAATTTTCGTTATAATTTTGACGTTTCCATTTTCCAAAAATGGTGAGTTCTTTATTTATATGTGATTTAAATTTCGCCACTTTCTGTAAGATCGAAAATTGATCTAGTTATTTTTGAGGGATTTTGACCGTGGAATTTAAAAAAAGAAATGTTTTTGCAAAAAGTTTGACTTTTAAATCAATTTTAACTTCAACTAGACTTCAACGTAATTGTATTTAAGTTATCGTTTTTAGTTACTAAAGCAAGTTGAACTCTTGAAATATCTGAATTTTGTTATAACTTTGACGTGTTCATTTTTCAAAAATGAGAAGTTCTTCAGTTATATATAATTTAAATTTGGCCATCTGACAAGATCAGCATTTTCTTAAACTTGAAAATGGTAACAATTTTATTTTTGAAGAATTCTTACTTTCGGAATTTCAAAAATAAACTGTTTTTGCAAAAATTTTGACTGTTGATTTAATTTCGATTTCAGCCGGAGTTGAACATAATTGTAATTAAAATATCTTTTTTAGCTACTTAAAGCAAGTTTGACACTTGAAAAGTCTGGAATTTTCGTTATAATTTTGACGTTTCCATTTTCCAAAAATGGTGAATTCTTCATTTATGTGATTTAAATTTCACCACTTTCTGTAAGATCGAAAATTGTTCTAGTTTTATTTTTGAGGGATTTTGACGATGGAATTTAGAAAAAAAAATGTTTTTGCAAAAATTTTGACTTTTAAATCAATTTTAATTTCAACTAGGCTTCAACGTAATTGTATTTAAGTTATCTTTTTTAGTTACTAAAGCAAGTTGGACACTTTTCATGTCTTCAATTTTCAATGTTTAGTCTTTTCAAATTGTAGCTTTTAATTAATCAAGTTTTCGTTTTTGCAGTTTAAAATTTTGGACAAAAAGACCAAGTTTTTTCAAAACGAGATTTTGAAAAATTGTAAAGCAGGCATTTTTAATGTTGCTCTTGTATTTTCGATATGTTTTTTCGAAAAATGCAAACACCCAAAATAAAAACTCAAAAAATTGGAAATCTAACAACTGAAAAACGAAAAAATAAAATATCGAAAAATTGAGAAATAAAAAAATAATAATAGAAAGAAAGGTGAAGCAACGAAATATTGAAAAATGAAAAGATTCAAAAGAGCAAAATCTAAAATTTAAAAAATTTAAACTGAAAACTCAAAAAATTGCAAATCAAAAAATTGAAAATCTGACATTTTTCTTATAATTTTTCAAAAACGTGAACGTCACGATTCATGGAAAACATAATCGCAATTTCTCTATCCGAGTTAGAGGTTGCATTTTTTCTAAGACCACGAATTTGCATTAAATAAGCAATTCTGAATCATTAAAACCAGTTTTTGATTTTCTGTCAATGTAGTTGTCAAGGTTCTCACAAATGTTGTAAATTTTTCTATCAAAGTGCTTAGGAACGGCGAATTTTGTAGTGGACAAACCTTGATGCTGTTAAAATGCGACTTATTTCCATCGACCCAGAACAACTTTACCAAAAAGACCCCAACATAAAACGGGAAGATGTGAAAACCCTGCAAGAGTGGTTGAGGAAGCAACCGCATCTACCTAAGATTGAAGGCAAGTAAATTAAGACGTAATTGTTGGAAACAAGTTACGTAACGCTGTGTTTCGACCATACTTCATCAGTATCAATTTCATTTACCTACGTTTTGTCAACACCCATAATTCTTTTTAGAATCGCAAGCCATCATCTTTCTACACAGCTGCTGCTACAGCATCCAGGCAACCAAACGAACAATCGATTGCTACTTCACCCGACGAACTCGGCATCCAGAAATATTTAGGTACCCATCGGCAGATCGATTAAATAAGGCCCTTCCCATCAGGTATTCGTGTAGTGTTACAATTTGTTTGAAAAATATTACATCCGTCGTAGTCTGCAGCAATACTTACCGAGGAAAACTCCCGAAGGGTACAGGGTGCTCCTGAAAAGACTCATGGACGTTAAAGTGGAATATTTCAACTTCACCAACGAAATTATGTTGATAAATTTAATAATTGCGTTGTCTATTCACAAACACGGGATCTCAGAAGGATTGGTCTCGGTTTTCGATTTTCAAGGAGTCGCACTGGGCCATCTAGCGAGAGTGAATCTGTCGGTCTTGAAATGTGCACTGGATCATCTACAGGTGTGTATATACATACATATTACATGTATAATTTTTCGTACACGTTGCTGGCTATTTGTTTGTGTGTATTAGGAAGGACTGCCGGTCAGGGTCAAAGGCATACACGTGATCAACGCAGTACCATTCATGGATAAAATTCTAGCGTTGGTGAAGCCTTTTCTTCAGCGTGAATTATACGAAATGGTATGTATGTCTTCTATTTGTCATTAATATTTGGTATGAAAACAAGTTCTAATAAATAACGTACTCCTATTTGCCGTTTATGAATCCGTGTTGAGTTTTTACCTTAGGCATCCAGATTTTTTGAACAAGAATCAAAATTGTGTACTATTTTAAAATTTAACTTTAAAATTGCAAAATCGAATGCTTTAAAATTTTGCAAACGTTGTAAGGTTATCGGAAGGTAAATCGTTAATAAAAATTTATACGTTCATGCCCCCAGCAATTTTGTCGAATAAATGTTTTTTAAATGCTGAAAATTAGCATAGTTCTGAGCTTGTGGTTTGTGAATCCGTGTGGAATTTTTATCTTAGACATCGAGATTTTTGGCAAAAAAAAGAATTTTTCGATTTTCTCATTTTTCCAATTTTCGATTTCTCGATTTTTCAGTTTTTCTATTCTTCAATTTTTTGATTTTTCAATTTTTCAATTTCGCGATTACTCATTTTGTCGCTATTTCAGTGTCGGGATTTTTCAAATTTTCGATTCTTCAAATTTTCGATTTTTCGATTTTTTCATTTTTCCAATTCTCAATTTTATGATTTTTCAATTTCTCGACTCTTCTTCAATTTCCCAAATTAACGATTTTTTCATTTTCCCATTTCTCGATTTCTCGATATTTCAGTTTCGGGATTTTCCACTTTTTCTATTCTTCCATATTTCTCGATTTTTCAAATTTTGATTTTTCAGTTTTTGACGTTTCTAAATTTTTGATTTTTGATTTTTCAGTTTTTGACGTTTCTAAATTTTCAATTTCTTGATTTCTCAGTTTCTCGATTAAACGATTTTTTGATTTTCGAATTTCTCGATTTCTCTACTTTTCAATTCTCCAATTCTTCAATTTGGATTTTCCAATTTTTTGGGATTTTTAGACTTCTCGATTTTTTGCCTTTTCGATTTTTCAATTTTTGGATTTTTTAATTTTTCGGTTCTTTTATTTTAAATTTTGTATTTTTTGGATTTTTTGATGTTTCGAATTCTCGATTTTTCAATTATTCGATATATTTGAATTTCTAAAATCTTTTTTTTTTCAATTTCTCAATATTTATATTTTCCAATTTTTAGTTTTTTTTTAAATTTTCTATTTCCAAATTTCAATTTGTTGATTTAGCTAGATTTCGATGTTTTGATTTTTTGATTTTCCAATTTTTCGTTGTTTCAATATCCCTATTTTTCATCATTCCAATTTTTCAATTTCTCGATTTTTCAATTTTCGGATTCTTCAAATATTCAGTTCGTCAAAGTTTTAAATTTTGGATTTTAAATTTCTCGATTTTTCGTCTTTCGATTTTGCCACTTCCGACTTTTCGATTTTTAAATTTTAGATTTTTGAATTTTTTAATTTTTCAATTTTTCAATTATTCAATTTTTCTAGTTCTGATGTTTCTAAATTTTTCAATTTTCGAATTCCCAATTTCTCGATGAAACGATTTTTTAATTTACCCATTTTTCAATTTCTCAACTTTTCAATGTTTTAATTTTCCAGTTCTTTCAATTCTTCAATTTTTCCGAATTTTTAGGTTTCCGATATCTGAAATTTTCGTTTTTCAACTTCAATTCCCGTATTTTTGCAATTTTTTGATATTTAACTTTTAGATTTTTATTTGTTTGATATTTTGTTTCGATTTTTCGATTTTTCACTTTTTCGGTATTTTTCAATATTCAAAATTGTGTATTTTTTTTATTTCTGATATTTCGATTTCTAAATTTTCAAATTTCTCGATTAAACGATTTATTGATTTTCCCACATCTCGTTTTGTCGACTTTTCAATGTTCCGCTTTTTTAGTTAGTTTAGTTTAGTTCTTCAATTTTTCAATTTTTTAATTTTTTCACTTTTCAGGTGTTTCATTTTTCAGTTTTTCGATTTTTTAAATTTTCGATTTTTCAATTTTTCAATTTCTCGATTTCTCGATTAAACGTTTTTTTTTTAATGTTACCATTTCTCGATTTTTCGACTTCGGTTCCTGAATTTTTCAATTTTTCGATATTTGAGTTCTGGGATTTTTCAACTTCTCGATTTCATACATTTCCGATTTTTCAATTTTTCGCTTTTTAAATTTTACATTTTTTATTTTTTCAGTTTTTGGTTGTTGCGTTTTCTCGATTTTTCAATTTTTCAATTTTTTTAATTTCTAAAATTTTTTTCGATCTTTCTATTTTTCAATTTTTCGAATTTTTAAAATTTTTGGTTCAGTTTGTCGATTTAGTTAGAAACGATGTTTTGATTTTTTGATTGTCCAATTTTTCGATTTTTCGATTTTTCAATTTTTCGATGTTTCAATTTCTTTTTATTTAAAATTTTTCAATTTTTAACTTTCCGATTTTTGATCTATTTCGAACGATTAGTTTTTGATTTTTCGACTTCTCGAATTTTCGATTTCTCGATCTGTTGATGTTGCGATATTTCGATTTCTTGATTTTTCGATTTCTCAATTTTTCATCATTTCAGTTTTAGAACTTTCCAATTTCTGGATTTTTCACTTTTTTGATTCTTCATATTTTCGATTTTTGATTTTTTCATTTTTCGATTTCTTAATCTCCGATGCTTCAATTTTTCGTTTTTTCAATCTTTCAATTTTTAGATATTTCGATTTTTCTATTAGTTTGACCTTCTCAAATTTTCAATTTTTCGTATTCTCAGTTTCTCGATGAAATGATTGGTTGATTTTCCCATTTCTCGATTTCTCGACTTTTCAATGGTTGGACTTTTCAGTTTTTCAATTCTTCAATTTGTTAAATTTTCATTTTTCGACTTTTTTCAATTTTTCGATATTTGCGTTCTGGGGTTTTTCGCCTTTTAGATTTTTTATTTTTTCGGTCTTTTGTGTTGTTTCTATGTCACGATTTTTCAATTTTTCGATATTTTTTAATTTTTAAAATTTTTGGTTTTTCGATTTGTTGATTTTTCGATTTTTCAACTTTTCTGTTTCTGACGTTTAAAAATTTTCAAATTTCCGAATTCTCAGTTTCTCGATTATAAAATTTTTTGATCTTCCCATTTCTCGATTTCTCGACTTTTCAGTGTTTCGATTTTTCAGTTTTTCAGTTCTTCACTTTTTCAATTTTTTGAATTTTCAGGTTTCCGTTTCCTTAAATTTTCGTTTTTCGACTTCGATTTATTCAAATTTCCGATTTTTTGATTCTTCGGTTTTTGGATTTTTCCAATTCTCGACTTTTCGATTTTTTTATTTTAAATTTTAAATTTATTTGTATTTCTCAGCTTTTCAAATTTTTAAATTGGTGATTTTTAATTTTTCTGATTTTTCAATTTTTCTATCTGTTTAAATGTTACCTTTTTCGACTTTTCAACTTTTCCATTTTACGATTTGTTAACACCTCGGTTCCTTGATTTTTTTTTTATTTTGATGTTTCGATTGCTTGATATTTCGACTTTTCGACATTTCGTTTTTCGACTTCGATTCCTGGATTTTTCAATTTTTCGATATTTGAGTTCTGGGATTTTTCGAATTCTCGATTTTTCACATTTTCGATGTTTCAATTTTTCGTTTTTTGAAATTTAGATTTTTTGTTTTTTCTGTTTTTTGGTTGTTTCGATTTCTCGATTTTCGAATATTTTTTTATTTTTAAAATCTGAAGTTTTTCTTTTTCTCGGTATTACTATCTTTCAATTTTTCCATTTTTTAAAATTATGTATTAATTTTTCAGTTTTGCAGTTTGTCGATTTAATTCCATTTTCCAATTTTTTGGTGTTTCAATTTCTTTTAATTTAAAATTTTCCAATTTTTAACTTTTCGATTTTTGGTTAATTTCGATTTCTCAATTTTTTGATTTATCGATTTCTCGATTTTTTGATTTCGCGATTTCTCGATCTGTTGAGGTTGCGATATTTCGATTTCTGTTTTTCGATTTTCCGATTTTCCAATTTTTCAATTTTTTGATCTTCCGATCTTTCGATTTTTTGATTTTTAAATTGTTCCCAATTTTCAATTTCTGAATTTAACAATTTTTTGATTTCGCCATGTCTCGATTTCTCGACTTTTCAGTGTTTCGATCCATCCGTTTTTTAATTCTTCACTTTTTCAATATTTCGTTTCCTTAAATTTTTGTTTTTCGACTTCGATTTCGGGATTTTTCAATTTTTCGATATTTGAATTTTGGGATATTCCGACTTCTCGATTTTTTACATTTTCAATTTCTAAAATTTAAGGTTTTTCGATTTTTCGAGTTTTTCAAATTTTTAATTTTTAAATTTGTCGATTTAGATAGACATCGATGTTTTGATTTTTTGATTGTTCAATTTCTCCATTTTTCGATTTTCCAGTTTTTCCATGTTTGGATTTCTTTTAATTTTAAATTTTTCAATTTTTACCTTTTCGGTTTTTTTTTTTTCGATTTCTCAATTTTTTTATTTATCAACTTCTCTACTTTTTGATTTCTCGATCTGTTGAGGTTGCGATATTTCGATTTCTTGGTTTTTCGACTTTTCGATTTTCCAATTTTTCAATTTTTTGATGCTCCGATCTTTCGATTTTTTGATTTTTAAATTGTTCAATTGTTCTATTTTTTACGTTCCTAAATTTTCAAATTTTCGAATTTTCAATTTCTGGATTAAACAATTTTTTGATTTTCCCATTTCTCGATTTCTTGACTTGTCAATGTTTCGATTTATCCGCTTTTCAATTCTTCACTTTCTCAATGTTTCAAATTTTCAGGTTTTCGTTTCCTTAGATTTTTGTTTTTCGACTTCGTTTTCTGGATTTTTCAATTTTTAGATATTTGAATTTTGGGATATACCGAGGTCTCGATTTGATTTTTAAAAGTTAGATTTTTTGACTTTACAATTTTTCTATATTTTTCAATTTCTAAAATTTAAGGTTTTTCGATTCCTCGAATTTTTAAAATTTTTGATTTTTCAATTTGTCGATTTAGTTAGATATCGATGCTTTGATTTTTTGATTGTTCAATTTCTCCATTTTTCGATTTTCCAATTTTTCAATTTTTTGATCTTCCGATTTTTCGATTTTTTGATTTTTAAATTGTTCCCAATTTTCTATTTCTGGATTAAATAATTTTTTGATTTTCCCAATTATCGATTTCTCGACTTTTCAATGTTTCGATTTATCCGTTTTTCAATTCTTCACTTTTTCAATTTTTAGAATTTTGAGGTTTTCGTTTCCTTACATTTTCGTTTTTCGACTTCGATTTCTGGATTTTTCAATTTCTCAATATTTGAATTTTGGGAAAGTTGGATTTTTGACTTTTCAATTTTTCTATATCTTTCAATTTCTAAAATTTAAGGTTTTTCGATTTCTCGAATTTTTAAAATTTTTCATTTTTCAATTTGTCGATTTAGATAGATATCGATGTTTTGATTTTTTGATTGTTCAATTTCTCCATTTTTCGATTTTACAGTTTTTCCATGTTTCATTTCTTTTAATTTTAAATTTTTCAATTTTTAACTTTCGATTTTTGGCCAATTTCGATTTCTCAATTTTTCGATTTTTCGCCTTCTCAACTTTTTGATTTCCCGATTTCTCGATCTGTTGATGTTGGGATATTTCGATATCTCGGTTTTTCGGCTTTCCGATTTTTCGATTCTTGGATTTTTAATTTCTCGATTCCTTGGCTTTTGGATTTTTCCGTTTCTCAACTTTTCGATTTTTTGATTTTTAAATTTTAGATTTTTGTATTTTTCCATTTTTCGATTTTTCAATTTCTCAGTTTTTCAAGGTTTCAACTTAGGGAAATTTTCACTTTTTGGATTTTTCAATTTTTCGATTGTTTGATATTTCGACTTTTCGACATTTTGAATTGCGATTTTTCTATTTAAAATTTTCGATTTTTCAGATTTTTCTATTTTTGAGTTTAAAATACTTTATTGTGTGATAGTACAACACGTGTTTCGGTACACAGATCTTCTTCAGGTAGAAACAGTTTGGAATAAATATTTTTATTATTATTATTAAAACATTTCCGTCAGCTCAAATAAGTTTAAGGTAATCTTTTTTCCATAAATTTATTAAAGTTGTTTCACCTTGGACATTTTTCACAAAATTTACTATGTAGTTATGAATTAGAATTATTTTGCCGCATTATTCTCCCCACAATGAAATACTGTATGCTCAGTTGACATTTACCTAATTAAACTTTTATGACTTAAAACAAACCACCACCCTTATAAATCAAAACAAGAGTTCTGGTACATTAATTATTTTGTAGATCCATATCCACTCGTCTTTTGATTCGTTGTACAAATACATACCAAAAGAGTGCTTGCCTTCCGATTACGGTGGAGAACTACCCTCATGTCAGGTCTTCTGGGGTATAATTGCAAAACTTCATTCACTTGTGTCTTAAATTACTGAATTTTGTAGAAGAGTTGAAAAAGGACCTTTTCGACAACGCACAGTTTTTCCAATGGCACGATTCGCAAGCAGTGGACGAATTAAAAAGAATGGAAAAATCTACTGTTTTGGATTCAACTTTAGGCGTGGACGGAACGTTCAAGAAGCTCGAAATTGATTAATTGTTTATAATTCTGGTGGTGAACGGAAATCCCAGTTTTAACAACAATTGACGTCAATCGGACGAACACATGGCAACCACGTCTGTTTTTCCCAAAAAAAAAATATATAAACCCATGAAACCTCCATATTATCGATAAAATAATTCTGTTTACGTAATGACAATTAAAAATAAACACAAATTTTATCTTATTAGGCTTTAAATTAGTTCGAACGAGTTTACGCAGTGTACAAGGTTGTAGAGGTAATTTGCGAGACCATTTATTTCTTTGTCAAGGTCCACCTAACCATGCTGGTAATCAGTCGGCGACTTGCTGGGGTACAAGATGCACTTGACATGTATCGAAGCAGAAAAATTGTACCTAAGAGACCCGAAAATCAAGCCTGAAGATGTGAAAATCCTGCAAGAGTGGCTCAAGAAGCAGCCCCATCTACCAAATTTGGAAGGTCAGTAAACAAAGTGTTTTCTGTTTTTTGTAAACATTTACAGTATGTGCTACAAGGTTAAATTAATTAATGTGCGTCACGCATATTTCTTCTATGCGGAAAAAAAACTAAAACACGTGCGGATTTATGAACTATGTTAGTGCCATTTTTCGAGTACTCGATTTTTCGGTTTTGGGATCTTTTAATATTTTAATTCTTCAATTTTCTTTACATTTTTCGATATTTTGATGTTTCGAATTTCTATTTTTCAATTATTGGCGTTTCTAAATTTTTCGATTTTTCAGGTATTTGATTTTTCGATTATTTTATTTTTCCTCTTGATTTTTCGATTTCCCGATTTTTCAATTACTCGGTTTATTTATTTTACAATTTCTGGCAACCAAAATGTCGATTTTTTGATTTCTCAATTGATTTTGCGATGTTTTCCTCGATTTTTCTATTTTCTGATATTTTATTTTGCGGTTTTTTAAATTTGAGATTTTTCAACTTCTCGATTTTTCGACACTTCGACTTTTCGAATTTTTTATTTTTCCCATTTCTCGATTTCTCGAGTTTTCAGCTTTTTAATTCTTTAAATTTTCAATTTACGGCTTTAGATTTTTCATCTTCTCGATTTTCCGACTTTTACGTTTTTTGATTTTTCCCATTTCTTGATTTTTCGACTTCTCGATTTCTGGATTTTTCTGTTTTAATCCTCCAGATTTTCAATTTTTCGGTTTTTAAGATTTTGGTTTTTTCAATTTTAAAAATTTTTGTTTTTTTTTAACTTTTAAATTTTTTGATTTGTCGATTTTTCAATTTTTCATTTTTTGACTTTTCTAAATTTTAAATTTTTGGATTTTTCGATTAATCGATTTTTAGATTTTTCAGTTTTCCCCATTATTCTTCAAGTTTTCGACTTGACAAGTTTTTGAATTTCGAATTTTTTTAAATTTTCGATTTGACGATTTTTCGACTTTTCGAGTCTAGCTTTTCCAATTTCAATATTTCGATTCTTTACATTTTAACTTTTTAAGAGTTCTTCAATTTTCTTTTTTCCGATATTTTATTTTTCGGTTTTTTAATTTTTAGATTTTTCTTTTTCTCGATTTTTGAATTTTTCGATTTATCATTTGTTCGATATTTCGGTTTTGGTGTCTTTCAATATTTTAATTGTTCAATTTGTCCAAATTGCGTTCCGGTTTTTCAATTTTCTCCTTTTTCAATTGTCCAATTTTTCGATTTTTTAATTTTTCTATTTTTCAATTTTTCAATTTCTCAATTTTTCGTCTTCTCGGTTTCTTTGTTTTTCTGTTTTTTCAATTATTCTTAAAATTTTCGATTTTGCAGGGTTTTGATTTTTCAGCCTTTTAAATTTTCGGTTTTTCGATTTTTTCGACTTGACGATTTTCCGACTTTTCGATTCCTAACATTTCCAGTTTTTCAGTTTTTCAGTTTTGGGATTTCTCAATATTTCGAATCTCCAATTTTTCAATTTCTTGTTTCAACTTTTCGATTTTTCAATTTTCTGATATTTTATTTTAAGGTTTTTTTAAATTTAAAATTTTTAAATTTCCCGATTTTTCTATTTTAAAATTTTTGGCGTTTCTAAATTTTCAATACTCGATTCTTAATCGCTTTTTCGATTTTTCGGTTTTGGATATTTAGATTTTTTGATTTTTCCCTTTGTCGATTTTTCAGTTTTTTAATTTTTCAAATTTTCAATTTTTCGATTTCTCAGGTTTTTAATTTTTAAAGTTTTAAAATTTTCGTTTTTTCGTCTGGACGAGTTTTCGATTTTTCAATTTTTCAATTTTTAGCATTTGTAAATTTTCATTTGAATTTTTAATTAATCGTTTTATCCGTTTTTCGATTTTTCGACATTTCGATTTCTCGATCTTTCAGTTTTTTAATTCTTCAAACTTTCAATTTTTCGATTTCTCTGGTTTTTAATTATTTAGATTTTAAAATTTTCGGTTTTTCGATTTTTCATCTCGATGATTTTTCGAATTTTCAACTTTTTAATTCTTTAAATTTTCAATTTACGGCTTAGATTTTTCATTTTCTCGATTTTCCGACTTTTACGTTTTTTGATTTTTCCCATTTCTTGATTTTTCGACTTCTCGATTTCTGGATTTTTTTGTTTTAATCCTCCAGATTTTCAATTTTTCGGTTTTTAAGGTTTTGGTTTTTTCAATTTTAAAAATTTTTGTTTTTTTTAACTTTACAATTTTTTGATTTGTCGATTTTTCAATTTTTCATTTTTTGACTTTTCTAAATTTTAAATTTTTGGATTTTTCGATTAATCGATTTTTAGATTTTTCAACTTTTCGATTTCTCGATTTTCCGACTTCTCGATTTTTTTATTTTTCAGTTTTCCACATTATTCTTCAAGTTTTCGACTTTACAAGTTTTCGAATTTCGAATTTTTTTAAATTTTCGATTTGACGATTTTTCGACTTTTCGAGTCTAGCTTTTCCAATTTCAATATTTCGATTCTTTACATTTTAACTTTTTAAGAGTTCTTCAATTTTCTTTTTTCCGATATTTTGTTTTTTGGTTTTTTAATTTTTAGATTTTTCTTTTTCTCGATTTTTGAATTTTTCGATTTATCATTTGTTCGATATTTCGGTTTTGGTGTCTTTCAATATTTTAATTGTTCAATTTGTCCAAATTGCGTTCCGGTTTTTCAATTTTCTCCTTTTTCAATTGTCCAATTTTTCGATTTTTTAATTTTTCTATTTTTCAATTTTTCAATTTCTCAATTTTTCGTCTTCTCGGTTTCTTTGTTTTTCTGTTTTTTCAATTATTCTTAAAATTTTCGATTTTGCAGGGTTTTGATTTTTCAGCCTTTTAAATTTTCGGTTTTTCGATTTTTTCGACTTGACGATTTTCCGACTTTTCGATTCGTAACATTTCCAGTTTTTCAGTTTTTCAGTTTTGGGATTTCTCAATATTTCGAATCTCCAATTTTTCAATTTCTTGTTTCAACTTTTCGATTTTTCAATTTTCTGATATTTTATTTGAAGGTTTTTTTAAATTTTTAATTTTTAAATTTCCCAATTTTTCTATTTTAAAATTTTTGGCGTTTCTAAATTTTCAATACTCGATTCTTAATCGCTTTTTCGATTTTTCGGCTTTTGGATATTTAGATTTTTTGATTTTTCCCTTTGTCGATTTTTCACTTTTTTAATTTTTCAAATTTTCAATTTTTCGATTTCTCAGGTTTTTAATTTTTAAAGTTTTAAAATTTTCGTTTTATCATCTGGACGATTTTTCGATTTTTCAATTTTTCAATTTTTAGCATTTGTAAATTTTCATTTGATTTCTTAATTAATCGTTTTATCCGTTTTTCGATTTTTAGACATTTCGATTTCTCGATTTTTCAGTTTTTTAATTCTTCAAACTTTCAATTTTTCGATTTCTTTGATTTTTAATTGTTTAGGTTTTAAAATTTTCGGCTTTTCGATTTTTCAACACGATGATTTTTCGAAATTTCAACTTTTTAATTCTTTAAATTTTCAATTTACGGCTTTAGATTTTTCATCTTCTCGATTTTCCGACTTTTGCGTTTTTTGATTTTTCCCATTTCTCGATTTTTCTGTTTTAATCCTCCAGATTTTCAATTTTTCGGTTTTTAAGATTTTGGTTTTTCAATTTTAAAAATTTTTGTTTTTTTTTAACTTTACAATTTTTTGATTTGTCGATTTTTCAATTTTTCCTTTTTTGACTTTTCTAAATTTTAAATTTTTGGATTTTTCGATTAATCGATTTTTAGATTTTTCAACTTTTCGATTTCTTGATTTTCCGACTTCTCGATTTTTTTATTTTTCAGTTTTCCCCATTATTCTTCAAGTTTTCGACTTTACAAGTTTTTTAATTTCGAATTTTTTTAAATTTTCGATTTGACGATTTTTCGACTTTTCGAGTCTAACTTTTCCAATTTCAATATTTCAATTCTTTTCATTTTAACTTTTTAAGAGTTCTTCAATTTTCTTTTTTCGATATTTTATTTTTCGGTTTTTTAATTTTTAGATTTTTCTTTTTCTCGATTTTTGAATTTTTCGATTTATCATTTGTTCGATATTTCGGTTTTGGTATCTTTCAATATTTTAATTGTTCAATGTTTCCAAATTGCGTTTCGGTTTTTCAATTTTCTCCTTTTTCAATTGTTTAATTTTTCGATTTTTTAAGTTATAAATTTTTCGATTTTTCAGTTTTTCTATTTTTCAATTTTTCAATTTTTCGAATTTTCGTCTTCTCGGTTTCTTTGTTTTTCTGTTTTTTCAATTATTCTTAAAATTTTCGATTTTGCAGGGTTTTGATTTTTCAGCCTTTTAAATTTTCGGTTTTTCGATTTTTTCGACTTGACGATTTTCCGACTTTTCGATTCGTAACATTTCCAGTTTTTCAGTTTTTCAGTTTTGGGATTTCTCAATATTTCGAATCTCCAATTTTTCAGTTTCTTGTTTCAACTTTTCGATTTTTCGATTTTTCGATTTTTCAATTTTCTGATATTTTATTTTACGGTTTTTTTTTATTTTAAATTTTTAGATTTCTCGATTTTTCTATTTTAAAATTTTTGGCGTTTCTAAATTTTAAATATTCGATTCTTAATCCCTTTTTCGATTTTTCGGCTTTTGGATATTTAGATTTTTTGATTTTTTAATTTTTCAAAATTTCAATTTTTCGATTTCTCAGGTTTTTAATTTTTAAAGTTTTAAAATTTTCGTTTTTTCATTTGGAAGATTTTTTGATTTTTCAATTTTTCAATTTTTAGCATTTGTAAGTGTTAATTTAATTTCTTAATTAATCTCTTTATCCGTTTTTCGATTTTTCGACATTTCGATTTCTCGATCTTTCAGTTTTTTAATTCTTCAAACTTTTAATTTTTCGGATTCTCTGTTTTTTAATTCTTTAGGTTTTAAATTTTTCGATTTTTCAACTCGATGATTTTTCGAATTTTCATCTGGACGATTTTTCGATTTTTCAATTTTTCAATTTTTAGCATTTGTAAATTTTCATTTGATTTCTTAATTAATCGTTTTATCCGTTTTTCGATTTTTCGACATTTCGATTTCTCGATCTTTCAGTTTTTTAATTTTTCAAACTTTCAATTTTTCGGTTTCTCTGTTTATTAATTTTTTGGGTTTTAAAATTTTCGGTTTTTCGATTTTTCAACTCGATGATTTTTCGAATTTTCAACTTTTTAATTCTTTAAATTTTCAATTTCCGGCTTAGATTTTTCATTTTCTCGATTTTCCGACTTTTACGTTTTTTGATTTTTCCCATTTCTTGATTTTTCGACTTCTCGATTTCTGGATTTTTCTGTTTTAATCCTCCAGATTTTCAATTTTTCGGTTTTTTCAATTTTAAAAATTTTTGTTTGTTTTTTAACTTTACAATTTTTTGATTTGTCGATTTTTCAATTTTTCATTTTTTGACATTTCTAAATTTTGAATTTTTGGATTTTTCGATTAATCGATTGTTAGATTTTTCAACTTTTCGATTTCTCGATTTTCCGACTTCTCGATTTTTTTATTTTCCAGTTTTCCCCATTATTATCCAAGTTTTCGACTTTACAAGTTTTCGAATTTCGAATTTTTTTAAATTTTCGATTTGACGATTTTTCGACTTTTCGAGTCTAGCTTTTCCAATTTCAATATTTCGATTCTTTTCATTTTAACTTCTTACGAGTTCTTCAAATTTCAATTTTCCGATATTTTATTTTTCGGTTTTTAATTTTTAGATTTTTCTTTTTCTCGATTTTTTAATTTTTCGATTTATCATTTGTTCGACATTTCGGTTTTGGTGTCTTTCAATATTTTACTTGTTCAATGTTTCCAAATTGCGCTTCGGTTTTTCAATTTTCTCCTTTTTCAATTGTTCAATTTTTCGATTTTTTAAGTTATAAATTATTCGATTTTTCAGTTTTTCTATCTTTCAATTTTTCAATTTCTCGATTTTTTGTCTACTCGGTTTCATATTTTTAGTCTTTCTGATTTTTCTCATTTCTCGATTTCTCGATTTTTCAGATTTTTAATTCTTCAAATTTTCAATTTTTCGATTTCTCAGATTTTTAATTTTTAAAGTTTTAAAATTTTCGTTTTTTCATCTGGAAGATTTTTCGATTTTTCAATTTTTCAATTTTTAGCATTTGTAAATTTTCAATTGATTTTTTAATTAATCACTTTATCCGTTTTTCGATTTTTCGACATTTCGATTTCTCGTTCTTTCAGTTTTTTAATTCTTCAAACTTTCAATTTTTCGATTTCTCAGATTTTTAATTTTTAAAGTTTTAAAATTTTCGTTTTTTCATCTGGACGATTTTTCGATTTTTCAATTTTTCAATTTTTAGCATTTGTAAATTTTCATTTGATTTCGATTAATTACGTTTTATCCGTTTTTCGATTTTTCGACATTTCGATTTTTCGATTTTTCAGTTTTTTAATTCTTCAAACTTTCAATTTTTCAGTTTCTCTGGTTTTTAATTTTTAGGTTTTTGAAATTTTCGGTTTTTCGATTTTTCAACTCGATGATTTTTCGAATTTTCAACTTGACGATTTTTAGATTTCTCGATTTTTCGGTTCTTCGATTTTTCAATTTTTGGCATTTTTAAATTTTTGTTTGATTTCTTGAGTAATCGATTTCGATTTTTCGATTTTTTGACTTTCATATTTTTAGACTTTCTGATTTTTCTCATTTCTCGATTTCTCGATTTTCCAGTTTTTTAATTCTTCAAATTTTCAATTTTTCGATTTCTCAGGTTTTTAATTTTTAAAGTTTTAAAATTTTCGTTTTTTCATCTGGACAATTTTTCGATTTTTCAATTTTTCAATTTTTAGCATTTGTAAATTTTCATTTGATTTCTTAATTAATCGTTTTATCCGTTTTTCGATTTTTCGACATTTCGATTTCTCGATCTTTCAGTTTTTTAATTCTTCAAACTTTAAATTTTTCGATTTCTCTGGTTTTTAATTCTTTAGGTTTTAAAATTTTCGGTTATTCGATTTTTCAACTCGATGAATTTTCGAATTTTCAACTTGACGATTTTTAGATTTCTCGATTTTTCGGTTCTTCGATTTTTCAATTTTTCAATTTTTGGCATTTGTAAATTTTCGTTTGATTTCTTGAATAATCGATTTCGATTTTTCGATTTTTTGACTTTTATATTCTTAGACTTTCTGATTTTTCTCATTTCTCGATTTCTCGATTTTTCAGTTTTTTAATTCTTCAAATTTTCAATTTTTCGATTTCTCAGGTTTTTAATTTTTAAAGTTTTAAAATTTTCGTTTTTTCATCTGGAAGGTTTTTCGATTTTTCAATTTTTCAATTTTTAGCATTTGTAAATTTTCATTTGATTTCTTAATTAATCGTTTTATCCGTTTTTTGATTTTTCGACATTTCGATTTCTCGATCTTTCAATTTTTTAATTCTTCAAACATTCAATTTTTCAATTTCTCTGGTTTTTAATTCTTTAGGTTTTAAAATTTTCGGATTTTCGATTTTCCAACTCCATGATTTTTCGAATTTTCAACTTGACGATTTTTAGATTTCTCGATTTTTCGGTTCTTCGATTTTTCAATTTTTCAATTTTTGGCATTTGTAAATTTTCGTTTGATTTCTTGATTAATCGAGTTCGATTTTTCGATTTTTTGACTTTTATATTGTTAGACTTTCTGATTTTTCTCATTTCTCGATTTCTCGATTTTTCAGTTTTTTAATTCTTCAAATTTTCAATTTTTCGATTTCTCAGGTTTTTAATTTTTAAAGATTTAAAATTTTCGTTTTTTCATCTGGAAGGTTTTTCGATTTTTCAATTTTTCAATTTTTAGCATTTGTAAATTTTCATTAGATTTCTTAATTAATCGTTTTATCCGTTTTTCGATTTTTCGACATTTCGATTTCTCGATCTTTCACTTTTTTAATTCTTCAAACTTTCAATTTTTCAATTTCTCTGGTTTTTAATTCTTTAGGTTTTAAAATTTTCGGATTTTCGATTTTCCAACTCCATGATTTTTCGAATTTTCAACTTGACGATTTTTAGATTTCTCGATTTTTCGGTTCTTCGATTTTTCAATTTTTCAATTTTTGGCATTTGTAAATTTTCGTTTGATTTCTTGATTAATCGAGTTCGATTTTTCGATTTTTTGACTTTTATATTGTTAGACTTTCTGATTTTTCTCATTTCTCGATTTCTCGATTTTTCAGTTTTTTAATTCTTCAAATTTTCAATTTTTCGATTTCTCAGGTTTTTAATTTTTAAAGATTTAAAATTTTCGTTTTTTCATCTGGAAGGTTTTTCGATTTTTCAATTTTTCAATTTTTAGCATTTGTAAATTTTCATTAGATTTCTTAATTAATCGTTTTATCCGTTTTTCGATTTTTCGACATTTCGATTTCTCGATCTTTCACTTTTTTAATTCTTCAAACTTTCAATTTTTCAATTTCTCTGGTTTTTAATTCTTTAGGTTTTAAAATTTTCGGTTTTTCGATTTTTCAACTCGATGATTTTTCGAATTTTCAATTTTTCGACTTCTCAGATTTTTAATTTTTTAAATTTTAAAATTTTTGGTTTTTCGATTTTTCAAGTTAACGATTTTTCGATTTCTCGATTTTCCAATTCTTCCATTTTTCTATATCTCGATTTTTTCACTTCTCAATTTCTCTATTCTTCAGGTTTTGCAATTATTCTTCGATTTTTCGCTTTTACAGGTTTTTAATTTTTAAATTGTTTTGTTTTCGGATTTTGAATTTTTTGACTTGACGATTTTTCTTTTCATTTTTCCGATTTTTTAAGTTTTACATTTTCCGATTTTTCAATTTCTCGACATTCTAATTTTCCGTTTTTCTTTTAATTTTTCGATTTTAATTTTCAATTCGTCAATTTTTTCCAATTTTTCCAATTTTTAAATTTTAGATTTCCCAATGTTTTGATGTTTTGATTTTTCGATTAGATTTTTCGGTTTTTCAAATGTATTATTCTTCGATTTTTCAATTTTCGTTTTTTTTTTAATTAGAAAATATACAAAAGCTCAGACTTCTAATTTTATTTAATATTATGCCAACCCGTCAAAATATATTGTTTCAGAGTCGCAAGTGATCATCTTTCTCCATAGTTGCTACTACAGCATCCAGGCTACCAAAAAGACCATTGATTGCTATTTCACTAGACGGACTCTTCGTCGGGAGCTGTTTAACCTACCCACTGAAGACACAATAAGGAAGGCTTTTTCCGTTGGGTGAGTTTAAATGTCAAGTTTATAAAGCAATAAGACAACTGGTTGAAATTCCAGTTTTAAGAAAATTCTTCCAAGGAAAACGCCTCAGGGATATGTCGTCATGATTTCCGGACTGGTCGACCACAGACCGGATCGTTACATCTTCAACAATGAAGTGCTGCTGCTAAATTTGCTCTATTCTTTGCACATTTTCCAACAAGGATTCTCAGATGGGCTAGTAGGAATAATTGACTTTCAAGGGGGTACTTTGGGGCATCTAGCCAGAGTGAATTTGTCTACACAGAAATTTATGATAGACCATCTCCAGGTACAGGAGTCGATTTATTTTTCCTGTGTTTATACGTTATATTTACCAGGAAGGCATTCCCATTAGACTAAAGAGCATCCACATGGTCAACACCCCGTCATTCATGGACAAAATAATGGCGATTCTCAAGCCACTAATGAGTAGCAAATTATTTGAGATGGTAAACCATTTTTAAGTTTTTTCAAATCATGGGTAATTTTTTTGAGGAATTGTTTTAGATACAGGTTCACTCGACTTTGGACACTTTGTATAAATACGTCCCGAAGGAGTGTCTGCCTGAGGATTATGGAGGAGAACTTCCGTCTCGTCAGATGATGCAAGGTATTTTCAAAAGGTGGGATGATGTCATTTTATTATTTTCGCTTTCAGAAGAGACGTTGAAGGAGGTTTTCGACAACCTGGATTTTTTTAGATGGCACGATTCCCAGGTGGTCGATGAGTCGAAGAGAATTGGACAGCCGAATATTACGCAGAGTACTTTTGGGGTGGAAGGAACTTTCAAGAAACTGGCGATTGATTAGTTTTAGATTACTTAGGAGATTTTATTGGTTATATACAAATATGATGTAAACTAGATGCTCATTTTTCTTTGTTTCCTAGACAAAATAGACTGGTGAATTTAATTTGTTTTCAATAAAGATTTTTGTAAACAATTTTTTGTTTGCCTGCGGGGATGTTTTTTGACTACTTAAAAAGAAATTAACGATACACCAAATGTGATTAAAAAACTTTAAGAAATGGAATGGTAAAAACCGGTTTTATGAGTTTTGGTTAAAAAAAGCTGGGCAAAATTAGTCTAGAAACTTAATTTCAGGAAGATTCAAACTTGTTTAATTTTTGATTAATTTTTCCAAAGCTCTTTTGAGTCAAAATTTTCGAATTTCGGTTAAACGTACGGTGATTAGTCTGAAAATTACATCTTTCGCTGAACCGAACCTCCTGAATAAGAATTTGGAACCAAAAATATTCTAGAGAAGCTCTTGATTTGCTTTTTTAATTTTTTGATATTCGAGTTTCCTGAAAATGACACCGTGCGATAAATGTGTTCGTACATTCTAAACGAACAGAGATACCAAGCTAAGAACGCTCTCCTATGCCAAGAAAACTATAAGAAAGAGACTGGAAAAAACCGAAACAACCTCTCTTTGTTCGTTCAAAAATTATGGTCCGTCAAACTCACAATTTGGTTTTTGAGTTTTGTTTAAACAAAGATTTCGTTTAACATGGTGAAAATTTTCAACAAGCGATGTCAAAAACGCACTCAGCAGTGTAAAATTAGTATAGAAACTTAATTTCGGGAAGATTGAAACATGTTTATTTTTTGAATAATTTTTCCAAAGCTCTCTTGGGTCAAAATCTTCGAATTTAGGTCATTTTAATCTATCTCGGTTAAACGTAACTCGATTTGTCTGAAAATTACACCTCTCCCTAATTCGAACCTCCTAAATAAGAATCTGGTTTCAAAAATATTGTAAGAAGCTCTTGATTTTTTTTGTAATTTTTTGATATTCAAGTTTCCTGAAAATAACAGGGTACGATAAATGTGTACACAGATTCTAAACGAACATAGATACCAAGCTGAAAATGCTCTCCAATGCCAAGAAAACTATAAGAAATGGACTAGAAAAACCCCGTACAACTTCTCTTTGTTCGTTCAAAAGTTATGGTCCGTCAAACTCCCAATTTGGTTTTTGACTATTGTTTAAAGAAAGATTTCGTTTAATATGGTGAAAATTTCCAACAAGCGATGCCAAAAACGCACTCAGTTGGGCAAAATTAGTCTAGAAACTTAATTTCAGGAAAATTGAAGCATGTTTATTTTTTGAGCAATTTTTCCAAAGCTCTCTTGGGTCAAAATTTTCGAATTTAGACCATCCTAAACTATCTCGGTTAAACGTAACTCGATTTGCCTGAAAATTACACCTCTCCCCAATTCGAACCTCCTAAAGAAGAATCTGGATTCAAAAATATTGTAGAAAAGCTCTTGATTTTTTTTGTAATTTTTTGATATTCGAGTTTCCTGAAAATAACAGCGTACGATAAATGTGTACACAGATTCTAAACGAACATAGATACCAAGCTGAAAATGCTCTCCAATGCCAAGAAAACTATAAGAAATCGACTAAAAAAACCGCGAACAACTTCTCTTTGTTCGTTCAAAAATTATGGTCCGTTAAACTCCCAATTAAGTTTTTTGAGTTTTGGTTAAAGAAAGATTTCGTTTAACATGGCGAAAATTTTCAACAAGCGATGCCAAAAACGCACTCAGCTGGGCAAAATTAGTCTAGAAACTTAATTTCAGGAAAATTGAAGCATGTTTATTTTTTGATCAATTTTTCCAAAGCTCTCTTTGGTCAAAATTTTCGAATTTAGGCCATCTTAAACTACCTCGGTTAAACGTAACTCGATTTGTCTGAAAATTACACCTCTCCCTAATTCGAACCTCCTAAATAAGAATCTGGTTTCAAAAATATTGTAGAGAAGCTCTTAATTTTTTTTGTAATTTTTTGATATTCGTGTTTCCTGAAAATAACATCGTTCGATAAATGTGTACGTAGATTCTAAACGAACATAGATACCAATCTCAGAATGCTGTTCTATTCCAAGAAAACTATAAGAAATCGACTAGAAAAAACCGAAACAACCTCTCTTTCTTCGTTCAAAAGTTATCGTTCGTCAAACTCACAATTTGGTTTTTTGAGTTTTGTTTGAAGGAAGATTTCGTTTAATATGGTGAAAATTTTCAACAAGCGATGTCAAAAACGCACTCAGATGGACAAAATTTGTCTGGAAACTTAATTTCAGGAAAATTGAAGCATGTTTATTTTTAGAGCAATTTTTCCAAAGCGTCTTGCGTCAAAATTTTCGAATTTAGGCCATCTTAAACTATCTCGGTTAAACGTAACTCGATTTGTCTGAAAATTACACCTCTCCTAATTCGAACCTCCTAAAGAAGAATCTGGATTCAAAAATATTGTAGAGAAGCTCTTGATTTTTTTTGTAATTTTTTGATATTCGAGTTTCCTGAAAATGAGAGCGTACGATAAATGTGTAAACAGATTCTAAACGAACATAGATACCAAGCTCAAAATGCTCTCCAATGCCAAAAAAACTATAAGAAATCGACTAGAAAAAACCCGAACAACTTTTCTTTGTTCGTTTAAAACTTATGGTCCGTCAAACAACCAATTTAGTTTTTTGAGTTTTGGTTAAAGAAAGATTTCGTTTAATATGGTGAAAATTTCCAACAAGCGATGCCAAAAACGCACTCAGCTGCGTAAAATTAGTATAGAAACTTAATTTCGGGAAGATTGAAACATGTTTATTTTTTGAATAATTTTTCCAAAGCTCTCTTGGGTCAAAATTTTCGATTTAGGCCATCTTAAACTATCTCGGTTAAACGTAACTCGATTTGTCTGAAAATTTCATCTCTGTTTAATTCGAACCTCCTAAATTAGAATCTGGAATCAAAAATATTGTAGAGAAGCTCTTGATTTTTTTTGTAATTTTTTGTTATTCGAGTTTGCTGAAAATGAGAGCGTACGATAAATGTCTACACAGATTCTAAACGAACAGAGATACCAAGCCCAAAATGCTCTCCAATGCCAAAAAAACTATAAGAAATCGACTAGAAAAAACCCGAACAACTTTTCTTTCTTCGTTCAAAACTTATGGTCCGTCAAACTCCCAATTTAGTTTTTTGAGTTTTGGTTAAAGAAAGATTTCCTTTAACATGGTGAAAATTGTCAACAAGCAATGGCAAAAACGCACTCAGCTGCGTAAAATTAGTCTAGAGACTTAATTTCAGGAAGATTGAAACATGTTTATTTTTTGAATAATTTTTTGACATTCGAGTTTCCGAAAATAACATCGTTCGATAAATGTGTACGTAGATTCTAAACGAACATAGATACCAATCTCAGAATGCTGTTCTATTCCAAGAAAACTATAAGAAATCGACTAGAAAAAACCGAAACAACCTCTCTTTGTTCGTTCAAAAGTTATCGTTCGTCAAACTCACAATTTGGTTTTTTGGGTTTTGTTTGAAGGAAGATTTCGTTTAATATGGTGAAAATTTCCAACAAGCGATGTCAAAAACGCACTCAGATGGACAAAATTTGTCTGGAAACTTAATTTCAGGAAAATTGAAGCATGTTTATTTTTTGAGCAATTTTTCCAAAGCTCTCTTGGGTCAAAATTTTCGAATTTAGGCCATCTTAAACTATCTCGGTTAAACGTAACTCGATTTGTCTGAAAATTACACCTCTCCCTAATTCGAACCTCCTAAATAAGAATCTGGTTTCAAAAATATTGTAAGAAGCTCTTGATTTTTTTTTGTAATTTTTTGATATTCAAGTTTCCTGAAAATAACAGGGTACGATAAATGTGTACGTAGATTCTAAACGAACATAGATACCAATCTCAGAATGCTGTTCTATTCCAAGAAAACTATAAGAAATCGACTAGAGAAAACCGAAACAACCTCTCTTTCTTCGTTCAAAAGTTATCGTTCGGCAAACTCACAATTTGGTTTTTTGAGTTTTGTTTGAAGCAAGATTTCGTTTAATATGGTGAAAATTTTCAACAAGCGATGTCAAAAACGCACTCAGATGGACAAAATTTGTCTGGAAACTTAACTTCAGGAAAATTGAAGCATGCTTATTTTTTGAGCAATTTTTCCAAAGCTCTCTTTGGTCAAAATTTTCGAATTTAGGCCATTTTAAACTATCTCGGTTAAACGTAACTCGATTTGTCTGAAAATTACACCTCTGCCTAATTCGAACCTCCTAGATAAGAATCTGGTATCAAAAATGTTGTCGAGAAGTTTATAATTTTTTTAAATTTTTTGACATTCGAGTTTCCGAAAATACCATCGTTCGATAAATGTGTACGTAGATTCTAAACGAACATAGGTACCATCCTCAGAATGCTCTTCTATGCCAAGAAAACTATAAGAAATCGACTAGAAAAAACCGAAACTTCTTCTCTTTGTCCGTTCAAAAGTTATGGTCCGTCAAACACACAATTTGGTTTTTGAGTTTTGTTTAAAGAAACATTTCGTTTAAGATGGAGAAAATTTCCAACAAGCGATGCCAAAAACGCACTCAGCTGGGCAAAATTAGTCTAGAAACTTAATTTCAGGAAAGTTGAAGCATGTTTATTTTTTGAGCAATTTTTCCAAAGCGTCTTGCGTCAAAATTTTCGAATTTAGGCCATCTTAAACTATCTCGGTTAAACGTAACTCGATTTGTCTGAAAATTACACCTCTGCCTAATTGGAACCTCCTAAATGAAAATCTGGAATCAAAAATATTGAAGAGAAGCTCTTGATTTTTTTTGTAATTTTTTGATATTCGAGTTTCCTGGAAATGAGAGCGTACGATAAATGTGTACACAGATTCTAAACGAACATAGATACCAAGCTCAAAATGCTCTCCAATACCAAAAAAACTATAAGAAATCGACTAGAAAAAACCCGAACAACTTTTCTTTGTTCGTTTGAAACTTATGGTCCGTCAAACTTCCAATTTAGTTTTTTGAGTTATGGTTAAAGAAAGATATAGTTTAACATGGTGAAAATTTTCAACAAACGATGTCAAAAACGCCCTCAGCTGCGTTAAGTTAGTCTAGAAACTTAATTTCAGGAAGATTGA